CACTTGATGCAAAAGAGTAATGGAGATCAAAACATCTACAAAAGAAGCCTCAGGGGAATCATGAGCACTGTTTATATATAGAACATGCACCAACACATGAAAGTCAAGTAGGTCATGCACATGACCTAGTCGGATCATAATTATTATGTTTCTCTAGTCTACTTGTAAACAGAACTGTTTAACATAGTGGGATCTTAGCTGAGGGGACAGTGAAACTGTCCTAATTCCAATGCCCCTGATTTAACATGAGGGTTTGTGTGTCATACCATCTGGTCTGCCAAAAGCAGGACGGTCTTTAGGCTGAACTTCCGGGAGCAAAAGTTGAAAAGGTCCTCCAGGCTGGGACCAAGCAGCTCCATTACCATCACGTTGTAGTCTCCTTCTGCACCGCACCACTTTATCGATGGAATACCCACTGGAGTACACACACACACACACACACACACACACACACACACACACACAGTCAGCATAAAGTTTACTCAAACTGTTTTTACCAGCACACCTACAGTTCATATTATTTTCCATATAACAGATTTAGCATAAAATACAAATATTTTTATTAACCTGGTAAATCTTACACAAGGTAATAGATTACTTGAAAAACACCTTTACTCATCTATGTAGGGTCACCTAAGATGGATTTAGATAACAAAAATTTGAAAAGCTACCATTTCTTATTGTTCAAAGAACTCACTGTATATCTTTCCAGCAGGCTTAGTAGGGTATTTACATAGAAAAGCAAAAATGACTAAGGAATGCTTTAAAAATCTTGCCCAGTGTGTCAAAGCTATATTCACCCCTTACCTCCTCCTTGCATCATCTTGTAGAACTTGCTTTCGATGTGCAGCTGTGGGTGTTTGGTCTTCACACATTCCAGCTTGATGGCTACCTCCTCACCGGTGGCAATGTTGGCACCTGAGGAGACGCACAAAAATACAACCACAGCTGTAAGACCCACAGCAACTGCGCCAGTACGAGGCCAAAGGTGGATGAATATGAAGGAAAATCTGTTTTGGTGCCCAGATAGGGGGGAAATTAGTAGTACAGAATTAAAAGAGACACTGTCCAGAAATAATGTGGAAATAACCCTAACAGAGGAGGCACATGGAAAGTTGCGAAAGGCATGCAAAAACAGAAGTGCAGGTTTACACTTACCAAGGTAAATGTCGCCGAAGGAACCACTCCCTATTTTTCGCCCGAGACGGTACTTGTTCCCCACTCTCAGCTCCATGGTTGCGAGTTGTCACTGCCACAAACAGACCAACAGAGATGATTATAAGACAGCAAAGGACACATGACACCGTGCTAGCTCATCTGTCCTGTGCCTCTTTTCTCTCACCACTAACTCAAACAATATAGCATGAGGTACTGCACAACTCAACTGAATACAACATAGCCGGTCAGCAACTCACATGGATAACCCGTCAGTCCCAGACAGACACTGAACTGACCACGTGTTTGTGTGCGAATGTTGCCTGAGCAGGGCTAGTTGACCAGCAAACAGCTGTCTGGCCTCCAGAGCTACACGATTAGGACTGTGGGGTGGGGGTGGGGGTGGTTGTGGCTAAAGTGAGATCAGCTAAAGCAGGGAAGGGAGGAGAAAGAAATACAGCAAAGAGAGGGCTACACAGAAATGCCACTTGGAAACCAGAATCAACTGATGCACGAGTACTAAGACCTGGCACACAGAGTGAAACGGAGTGCATCTTCTGAGCTGAACTGCACGTGATGCTGGAGCAGGATCATCATTTATTTAGCGCTCCCTCTACCACGCCACATTGTGCAGCCACTGCAAAAGCAAGACTAAGCTCTCCACTGTTCTGTGCTAGCACTGCCAAGGGAGGGAAGGCATGAGCAGCCGCGGAGCGCTGGCTGGCTTTATCTGTGTCAAGGCCCTCAGACAATTCTGTGCAATGAACTTCAGAGAGCGAAGTGCTGCAGAGAATGTATCATCGCATCATTTATCAAAGAGATTTGCTTCCTCACCACCAAATTGGGAACACTGTGTAAACAAACTGTGCCCTTTATAGCAACAGTGGACCCTCGTTCCAAATGTAGCACTGCTGCATCTTCAAATAAACACTTCCAGTCATGTGCCCTGTTGACGATTCAACAAGGCAATATATGAAATGGACCGTATCATCTTTACTGATTCCGGCCTCAATCCACATCCCCTACAGAAAACAGAAAATGGTCTCATGACAACCCAGAGAAACTGCCAAACAAAGCGTTCTCAGTCAACCTCAGTTTTGTGGACATGCCAACTCAAGCAAGCAGGACAGTCATCAATTCTGCAGGACCAGTCCTCTGCATTCAGTCTGCTTCCATCAATAACCTCTTTTATCACAACATAAATTATCCCAGGAGTTACTTTGCTTGATTGTAAGCAGTGGGATTAAAAAAGAGAGCTGCAGACACCAGCTCTGTTCTAAAACTACTTTAACAGTGATGAAGGCTTACATGCCATCCTCTTGGATCATCTGAGCCTCGTTAAAGGATTCAAACAAAACAACTTGTATCGCACTGCCCTTGTTTAATGTGAAAAAAACTGAACGGACACACGCTGAGATGTAGGCCCTGGACCTCCTTGTCACCTCTAGCTGATGAGGACAGCCTGCCATGGTGGATGTGATGGAGGCAGATGGATTTGGGTTAATAAAGGGTTAGGTTTCATTACACCAAGAGGGTGTCTCATGTGCTGCAGCCAGGGACCCGATTTAGGGAGCAACATTAATCACAAAGCTACACAATAAGTGCCATTGATTAATTACTTGGTAAAGGAACGGTGACACACAATTTAAAATCGCACAGTTTCTATATGGTTTTCGTTTGCATATACCCTAAGATTAACAAGGGAGAACTTAGCATTGCAAAGATGTGTGTAGTAACAACCTAGCAGCAATGTGAAGAATGCACTGCTTGATGTTTCAAAGATGGCCTGTGTGCTCTGTAGCAAGTGGAACTAGCCAATCACACTGCACCTGAAAAAGCACCATGTGCTGTTATGGTAGTAACCGTCTACAGGACAGTGGATTGGTTAAGATGCCACAGTGCTATGTGCTGGTTATGGGGAGTCTTCCAGGTGGTTGCGGTGATAGGATGTCCTGAGGAGGATACTATGCTTAAATCACCTATACGCCACTGTGATCATCTCAATCCAAGGTGTGAAACAAAGTCTTAATATGTAGCCATTAAGACCCACTTATCGGTAGAAAGTGACAAAATACGTCCTTTTCAAGAGGAAAAAACAAGTGTCACATGAAAAGCAGAGCACTGCTATGGCTCTCACACTGAGGCAGCTGTCACTCCACAATCAGCTCCTGTGTTACAGACTGCACACCAAATACAAGCACTAATATAGCCACATTTTGCAAATATAAAATGAATAATATTCAATAATTAGTTGTTTTTAACGGTAACAGATGTCCGGCTACGTTGCTCTTTCCTGGTTGCAATTTGATGAGAAGCGAGTCAGTAGTGATTTACGCTACCAGGGCAACATATTTGCTTTAACGTTATAACTTATATTAGTTAAATATCATAATCCCACACCAGATACGACGGGTTGAAACAGCAGTTTACATTTACAGGCGCTTTAAGTAAAAAAATAAAAATAAAAAACACACCAGCCGAATGCATTTGACGGTACGTTAGTTAAGTGTTAGCTGCTAAGAGTCAGCTAACGTTAGTAGAAATACGTAAACGGAGCCGTGGTACGTACTGCACCATTATTATACATTAAACCAAGATACAAATGTGTATATCGCACTTCGACACATTTTGTATCACACTTATAACCGCACCCATTTATGTGCTGGGCTAGCCTGTGTAGATAGCCATTCCCTACTACTCGCCCCCTCCCCCTCTCCTGTAAGCCGTGAATACTAGACTCTGATTCGGCCGAATCAGGCCCCTTTTCCCCCTCGGTTTCTCCGGTTCCCCGACCCAACACTCACCCGATATTAGGTTCGTCCGAGAGCTGGTTCGGTGGAGGTTCTGATCCGATGGTTGTCAGTCGGACAGGAGCCTGGGCAGAGGAGGATGGGAGCGGATTCTGGCGGCTCTCATTCCCCCAGCTCTTAGATGTGTCGTCGGTTGCACTCCCTGTTGATAGTCCCTAAAGCTCCAGCAGCACGAGCGGCCGTTCTCCACTCGAGTCTGTCTCCCCCTCTCGTTACTTAACAACGCGCCCGCTCACAACGTCGGTGATGTCATCCTCTGGTTGTCAGGGCACAGTCATTAAAGGAAAACGTCACACCTAGCGGCTCCTTCCTCCATGTATTTGACCAATTATTAATTATCCACTTACTTTCTCTTACTCATTTTGAGTCACAGTGCCGTCTGCAAAATGGATCCGCTCGTAGTGGTTGTGTTAATCAACACTCATATTGTAAATGTCAAGAAATAATATGATAGTTGTATTTTTCCTGTGATCAATGAAGTTGTATCCATCAGTTTGTACAAGCATCAAGTGTCACTGGATGGATGTACACAATATTTTGCCCCAAAACACACATTTGAGAATGGTCCCAAGTGTTAGGAAATCATTTCAACTATGTTAAATCTATGTAGGAATATATATATATATATATTTATATATATAGTCTATAATCACGTTTTTGTTGGCAATGATATATTCACTTAACACAAGTAAAGCCTAAACTGTATCAGGAGGTAAATAATTTCATACAGTAGGCAGTGGCTTAGTGTAGGATGACGTGGGTGTTAAATAGGATTGGTTTGTGGATGGTAATGACAGGGTGACAGATGGACATGCTGGCTTGTTTTTCTGTGGCTATCTATGAGCTCACATGCCTTTCCCTTCATCACTGTTAACACGCACAAAGCACGAGCACAAACTATGCAGTGCTTAGTGCTCACATATGCATCGCAGCATAAGGGGCAGTATGGTTTAATATGGAAGTTATTTTAGTCAACAGCTAGAAACCTGACTTCACACACACAAAACACGCTAGAAAAATGACCACGAGGACACATTTAGAAGCCAATACTTTCATCTTTATTAATCTTGTTCTCATTTGTTTAAATAAATTTTTCCTTTGTAAAATCTCATAACGAAAACACTGAACAGGAGTGTTAAAGCCTGTCTTAATTTAAAACGAATACACAACAACAGAACATTAAAAACGTACGGTAACTCTTAGTCTGCATCTGTAAACAACCCGTCCCACCCCTCCCTCCCACTCCACACAGTTTGATAAGATTTGGCATGTCCATTTTCTCAACGCATATGCCTTCAGCTCTTTGTGTCATTAAAATGTTCTTTTTTATTATTGCAGGTCGGACAATAAAAAAGACAAGTCTGCTAAAAAAAACCCAAACAACTTCAAATGAGAGAAAAAAAAGCATTAGTGCCAATATTTCTTAACACACAGTCAGCAGTATACCGAATGCACTCAAAACATTTTTGTATAGACCTTCTGTATAGTAAGCAGCCTTGCCCACTTATGACAGGCAGTAACATGCACACACACATTATCCTCACATTCACACACACGCACAACAACTGTGGTGGTTTAATCCACTTTACTTGGTCTCAGTCTCACTCATACTCATGTCCATATAATGTGTATGATACTGTGCACAGTATTGACACATGGAGAAATGCAACATAGCCTCAAACTGCCAGCAATTTAACATTTATCACTGCAACAGTAACAAACATGTTCAAGAGAGAATAACAGAGAAAGAGTGCGTGAGATACAACAGTAGGAGGTCAGCATTTTGAAAACAGAACAATGACATTTTTCAATATTTTCACTGTTCAAAAATTAAAACCATACATACAAACAGAAAAAAACCTAACTTAACATACACAGTAAGATACAGTTCTGTTTTCAATCAGAGCTGTTTGCATGTGTTTGGATTCGGTCTCCGCTTTTAAGGGGACGTGAATACAAACTGCACTTTAACCTCACATCATGTAGTAGTTTTAAGTTCTCTTATACGATGAAGGTAATGCTGTTTACAGTGCCCATCTGTCTGAAGGCTCGTCTGTATTTGGTGTGTGCATGTGAATGTAAATCTGTTGAAAAGTCCCCTATTTACTAAGCACATTGCAATCCAGTCAAGTCTTTCAGACCAACTGACTTTTCATTCTTTTTCAGGTTTCAAGTCTAAGCAGTTGAAATCTTCATCTGTGGAAAAAGGCTGTATACACATCTAACAGTCCCTGCATTTGTTTATATAATAGCTTAAGTCTGGCCACGAGAATGTGTGTAAGCATGTCTCACATTTCTGCTTGTGTGTGCACATTAATATGCATACCATGTCTATGTATGCATGTGTGTATGTGTATTACATTAATATGCATACCATGTAAATGTGTTTGTTGGTGTGTGTGTGTGCTATAGTAAGTACATATGTATCCCAGTGTATGTTGTATCAGTGTGTCCAAACCTACACGTACAAATAGTGGGGGCTCATCAGATAGAATCAGCTCCTCCCCCCAGCAGGTCGCCAGGCAACAATGCGGCAGGGCTGTCCATTTGGTGCCTTTCCTCCATTTGCGGTGCCCCCCACAGGCTGCTGCTGGGGTATCCAGCAGTCATGCCCCCCCAGAGCCCAGACCTCCCAGACTCAACCCCGCTGACGCCTCCTCCCTCACCTGCCCCGTTGGTGCTCCATTGGGAAAATATCCCCAGCCCGGGTCCTTGGGCTGAAGAGGATTCTGAAGAACTGCCTGTACCATCAAGACTCTGCCAGGCAGAGCCAGAGGACCTCACAGTACCTTGAACCGCCACTCCACTTTCCCCTCCACCACCACCATTTCCATTTCCACCTGAAGTTGTACCCGCTGCTGCCCGCTCATTCCCCGGGGAGCTACCTCCACTGCTGGCCACAGCTGTGCCTGTTCCAGATGAGCCCTGCGACCCACCGGCCGCAGCCCCTCCTGAGCTGGCCCCCTCTGCCCCTCCGGCCTGGGAATGTGCAAAATAGCGAGCAACTTCTTCCTCACTCACGAACTCCGCCAGGATTGTGGTGTTGCCCAGAACACACCTGAGGGAGAGTTACAAGACAAAGGCTCTTTAGATCAACCGGAGCATGTTCAACGTTAAGTACATTTGTGTTAGTGAGGTTACAGGTTAACCTACATGTGCAGTGCACCCTGGGCCTTGGCTGCTTCCTGCCGGCTGCTGTAGCGAATCAGAGCGCTGCCCTGGGTCAGGCCGAGGTGGAAGGTCAGCAGGGGGCCATGCTGCATGCAGATAGTCCTCAGCGTGGAGCCGTCAATCTACAGGAGAAGAAGTATAAAGGTTAAGTATAAAAGAGAGTGTGTGTGTGTGTGTGTGTGACATGACAGTGCTACAGTAGTTGTCCGCAATCTAGAGTCGTCAATTACACGGACAGAGAAAGGTCAGGAAATCTAGGAGGTTATACAACAATGGTTACGTGTATAAGAACCGTGTATTAATAAGTAATGCAGTAAGACTACACGCTGAGGCTTTACTGCCCGCCTGAGCACATGAGCACGGGCAAAGCTAAATTGATTATTGTTAAAAAAAAAAAAAAAACTTTATTAAAACAAAAACTTTGACTAGCCTTGTAATTAAACATTTTATTTCTATGCTTTTCCCAGAGCAGTGTCATGCGAGTGTCATTTGTGCAAACCCTAATTGATTAAATGGCTCATCCAACTTCACAATCCAATTACAGCTGGGTCATGCATCATTCCGTCTAATTTGCATAAGACAGACTGAAGGGGAATACAGATGAATGAGCACAGCGATTAAATGCTTCTGAATTCAAACCCTGACCAATTTGTCTGGGCATCTGTTTTACTGTACAGTCATGTCCATTTCTGCCGTGATGAGGGGTTGTAAGATAATTTTAAATTCTACCCTGCTTCCACAGCATTCTCCCATTTACGTCTTTTCCTCTGCACTAAGTGAGTTTGTAGACAACAGCAATACTGGTGGTGACATGGTTAATATTTAACATTTTTAATTCCTAAAATTGTCCATGTCATTTCTAATTTACTTCTTTCTTCTAGTTTTCTATCTCTCTTAACCTGTGCCTCCCTTTTTTGCCCTCACGCCTTACCTGAGGGGTCAGGTTGCTCAGTAGCAACCAGCAGCTGCCTCTGGAGGCAACACCATCGCTCCAAGCTGAGCCTATGTAGACAAAAGAAAGGGGGAGAGAGAGGACAAACAGAAAAGAAGGCACGGTAGAAAAGATTAGAGGGGATGTCATAGTTGATGGCAAATACAAAGATTATGCTGAATATGATCTTATTTACAACAAAGACAACTTTAATCCTCGGTTTCATACAGTAATAAGACCTGAGTCATCACACCACTGTCCAGAAGATCTTCCTCTAGTTGACAAATGTTTATAAGAGAATTTAAATATTTTCCATGTAAGCTGTACCTGGCCCAAATCTTGACTCTTGATTCATCCCGCCCCCTCCCCAGCTCCGGGCCAACCGTGGGCCTCCGCTACCCCATGGGGAAGGCGAGGCCTGCTTTTGATTGGTTAAACCAGGAGGGGGGCGTGGCAGCTGTGAGCTGTTGCGATTGGTCTTCCACAACTTGTTTTGTCCGATGGGCTCTGGGGGCCAGCTTGTCTTGTACTCCGAGTACTTTCCTGAAGAGGAAATGGGGAGGTGGGAGAAAGAGGGGGAACATGAGTTTTAACAAACATACCACAGAAATGGGAGTGCAGAGGACACAGTTCAGCTAGCTCCTTCTGCTTCTTTGTAGAAAACTCAACTTGTATAAATAAATAAATAAATAAATAAATAAATAAATACAGTGCAAACACAATTATAGGAACAGAAAGAAAGAAAACTTGTAAAGCAAATGACAACTGAGCTTATAAGATAAAGGAAACTCAAAGTGGAACTTAAAACGAAAAAGGAAATAAATAAAGTTGAACAAATAGAAACTCATACCTGTGCTGTGTGCATTGCTGAGGGGACTGTCTGAGGCACTGTAGGGCCAGGCACCAGGTGAAGGCAGCGAGGTGTTGTGGGTTGGGTTTGGCCCTACAAAACATTAAAGGTTATCTGAAAGAAACACATTCTGTGATAAACGAGACAGGGCGACCATAGTAGAGCTGTGGCTTTTTTCGCAGCAGGGATTTGCATCTCCATTGCAACAGGGCTACTTGCTTGAAGGCGTTTCTTTACAGGAAGAGAGAGTTGCGAGTGTCGAGAGACTGACAAGAGTCTCCGGTGATAAACACATTTAACTTCCTATAAAATTCTTCACAATAAAGTTACCCGGTTATTTTGTAATTTAAAGTGGTAATGGAAATGCAAATCAGCATCATGGTTTGGCTCGGCGTGGTAATTAAAGCGCTACTGGATTGCAGATAGAGCCTGTGAGGAATACTGTTTGTCAACCCTTTGCCCTTAAAATTTCTGTCAATAAATGGCTAGAGCATGTTTTTAAGTATTGTCAAAACATGATCTGGAAAAAAATATATAAATATATATTAAATTAGCTGCACTTGCATCCACTACATGCCGGATTTTGTACATGCGTGTTTAACAATGGAGGGTCAGTTAGTGAGTGAGAGATTCTCAATCCAGTGAAAAGCCAACATTTGAAATTGTAACTAAGCAAGTTCAGCCTTGTTGAGTTGTTGAATTTTAAATTGTGTCAGATCAGGTGATGCTAATCAAACTGAAGATGAGCAAATGTAATCTATAACCTGTAATCTATTCTTTGCTTCTATTTGAGACCAAATTGAAACTTGTGTCTGTACAAATCTCAGTGATGGTTTAAGCGGCAATACTAAAACCAACAGCTATTCTCATCAAAATATCTGGGACCTTCAAATACCTATGTTGTCTCGCAGTAACTGGTGGTCAGAGTCGTTGAGGCTCGGGGGTCCTGGGGAGCCAAGAACACTACCAGGGGTCATGTAGGGGTCAGACTCTGGGTCTCCACTACTCTGGATTCCCTTCCAGGGCACACCGGGCTGGAACTCTGTCATCAGAGAACAGAAAACGTATTGACTGGATGAAATCATATGCTGTATTTCCACTGCTATTTTTAAATCAAGCTCTAAAGGAATGTAACTGAGATCCTGTGGTTGTGGCTGTGTTTATTGTTGTAACCCAACATACATACTGGATGGCTATAAAACGATGAACTAATGAATGTAATTACTTTGTTCTTCTTTGCTTAAGGTTAGGTACTTAAATGAAAACAGCACAATAGCTTCTGGGATTTAGAAATACTTAGTCAGTAGGCATGTACACACATTACACAGTGGGCAGATCAGAGCAGAGGCTCGCTCTTTAATCCTAATTCCTCACCCTTGCAGCAGAAAACGACACACTCACCTGGAGGCCAGCTGGATGTGGCAGGTTTGTTCCCCATTTTACTCCCGGGGGTCCGATGCCAGTTGTCTGCAGAGCCTTGAGGGGGAATCCCCAAACCATCACCACCCAGCATTTCATACTGGGAGTATGGGGATCCTCCTCTCACCTTTATAGCACTGGGTAAGGGGCCTTGAGAATAACACACAAAAGAGAAATAAGGTAAAACAGATTGACATAAATATATCACAGATGCCTTTGACTCGCAGTTGTTCATTCACATACATTGTGAAACAAGGTGATTACCAATGCAGTTAAGACCAGATTGACAACAGCCTGGGAGGTGTGCTTTCACAAAGTGTGAATCTTGCCTTTGCAAAAATCATGTTACAAAACCATCTGTTAACCTACCATTCTTGTGAAGGGTTGTGTCAGGGGGAGATGGAGCTGGGGAGTGTCCCTCCATCATCCATTTGAAGCGGGATTGCTGTCCTCCTGTGTCCTTCATCCCTCCCATCATGGGACCGAGCTCCAGTCCCGACAGGTTACCACCAGGGGCAAGCCCTGACAAGCAGAAAAAGAGAAGCACTCATTGGCACACTACATTTTTACTAATGTTCAGCTTTAAGCAGCCTTTGGCTGAGATGGTGAGTGCTTTTTTTCCAGTTTGTGTTCGTGTTCAGTAAAAGTGTGATTGCACTAGGTACTAAAGGCTAAGGGCCATTTAAAATGGAGGACCGTTGTTATAGAAACAATGATTACAACCGGCTACGTGTCTGTGTTTACACAAATTACATAGATATAACTGTTTGTCTAGGTGAGCCAATAAGAAGCATCAGACAGATAAGCAACAGGACACTGAGACTCTAAAATGGTGGTCAGGGCAGTATTCTATTGCCCTCAGGCACACATGACCCTAAATGTCAGTTTGTCTGTCTCTGATTTCATGTACCCTAATATAGCATTCTGCAATGCTAGTTTGGCAGCCTAACAAAAAAAGTCAACGTAAAACATCATATTTTATACCAGTTTTATTTATAGGTACCTGACTACATCACACCTAACCAATGGAGACTAACTCTCAAACATTTTTCCTGTTGAACTCACCAGAGTACATCCCTTGCGTTTTGGCATGAAGGTCTGATAAAGGCCCCCCCATTCCAGGATGTGGAAGGGGGTCAACCATGGGCTGTTTGGATAGGCCTCCTCCCAGGTGAGAGGGGGAAAGTTTAGAGCTCCCTCCTCCTGCTGCTGCTCCTCCAACTCCACCCTGCTGATGATGTCTCTGTTGCTGCAGAATAGCCATAATCCTTGCCAGCTGAGAGGGACAAGTTTCAGGAAAAGATGTCACCATTAGAATAACTGAAATACAATAAATGGTCACAAATTGTCTTGATGAAGTAAACCCTTATTAACCAGCATTTAGAGTTTTAGTAAAGTTCTAGTTTACATGATTGAGGGATACATCAGTCACATTATTGAAGTGGTTGAAATAATTGAATCAGAGAAGATGTTGTTAGCTCTTGATATTTCTATGCGTAGTTCACAGCTAAATCTCAACTTTTTAAGCAAAGTTAATTGAAGAAACAGCTTTTCTTTTCAGCAGAGAAAATAAATACAATAGTAATGGTTGAAGTCCTGTGGACATTGCATGGTATGGTATAGAACGTGATAATGCTCACCTGCTGTGGGTCTGGCTGCTGCCTGAGAGCCTGAGGCTGAGGGAACTTCCTCTGGTTCTGCAGAAGTTGCTGCTGCTGCTGCTGCTGTTGCTGCTGCTGCTGTTGTTGTAGCAGGAGCTGGCAAGCCTGTGGGTTGGTGGGCAGAAATGGAGGTAAACAAAAAATACAAAGGCTTAGTGGTCACATACAAACACTGGGTACTTGTGGAGTTGGTTTATTACCATACTCCAATACAGAGTTATACAAAGGCAGATAAAACAGTCAGCAATTTAATATTTATTTCAATGTGATCCACATTCTAACATTTTGTAACGTACCAGATGGAACTGCTGCATGTGGGGGTAAATGTTGCTAAGCATTGCTAGCTGCTGTGGGGAAATCTGAGGAGGGAACACTCCTCCACCAACACCACCACCGACTCCTCCGACTCCTCCGACACTTCCAACACTTCCGACACCACCTACTCCTCCTACTCCTACTCCTCCTACTCCTCCTACCACTCCACCCACACTGCCACCAGGAGAGGGCATCTGCTTCAGCATAGGACCCGGCACCTACACGTCACAGGAATGTCGGAATTATTATTTTTATTATAGTTAATAAATCAATAACATAAACGTGCCATGACTAGTTGGCTTTATTTAATGACTACTAGGCGACTAGGAAAATCTTTAGTCAGGGGTAGCTCTAGTAGAAATATGATGGTTCAACAGGGCGGACTCCAGGGAAGGCAACCTGTGGAGTCTGTAGATATAAAAGACTTCTTCTAAGGTAACAAACAACTAACAATTCTTATTTTCAGGTCATTTTATAATAATGAAAATGTACCTATAAATATTATATTCCATTTCTGCCAATAGATCATCCTAAATAATAAACACCGGACCTTTAATACACAGTACACAGGGAATAAATAAAATTAAGTTGATCATTTCTAAATATTGTCTGAACATTGTGTTAATGACTTCTTAAAAGCTACCCTCTAGCCTAAGCTACAACGCCACTGCTGTGTTATTTATTGCCAGACCACAAGGCGATCTACTGCAGTTCACTGCATTTACGACGTGCAGCATCAGCATTATGGGCAATATTCAGTTAGTACTGAAAACCATACAAACAAAAACTTTTGTTTGTGTGAAGTCAACATTGGCAGGACTCAGGAGACTCTATGTCTACCAAATAGAACATTCATCAAAACTAATAACATCAGAGACCGAAGGAAACAGACCTGAGCAGACAGGAACTGATGAGGCACTTGTGCACGTAACCCCTGGGAGGGGTTCATCGGATGCATGCCAGGCTGGTGCATCCCTCGAGGCGGAGGCATCCCTCCGCCACTGCCAACATACACTCCATGGCCACCCATCTGGAGCACAATAGAAAGCATAGAACAATAGCAATGTATTTGTGGTGACGTTTTTTAAGTCCTTAAGTCAGCACAACTCACACTCATGTTGCAGACACTGATTATATAAACTGAAATAATACAAAATGAACTTTGAAAACAGAAGGTCTGTGAAGTGACTTAATACTAGTTAGCACTATAAACAGACTCATACCTTTTCCCCATAGGGTCCCATGTCAACAGGACCCATGTCTTTGGAACTAGGCATGCGGTAACCTCCTCCGCCTCTTCCTCCCCTCCGCATCTCTCCATTATAGTCAGTTATTCCTCTCTTGTCTCCTTCCATCTTTTTGTCAACACTTGGGTCATCACCCTAAGAAACAAAGTAATTTAGTGACCTCACTTATCCTCACACTCATAGGACAGTAACAGAGGCCTCACCGATAATCCCTCCATCATAGTCACATTATCAATACAGGTGAAGTTTTGATTAAGTATCTTTATAAAAAAGCAGCAATATGAAAGGACAATTTAAAAAAATTAAAAACAAATTGCAAGTGCTGCTTTCAATAGATAGAAATTTTGAGATGCCGTTTTAGTGAATTAACATCTTACCATAAGACTCATGCTTGAAAACTGGCGTGACACTGGGTTCATCCAGCTGTCCCCTCCTCCACTCTTTAGGAAGGAAATTGAAACATTACTCTCAGTCAAAAACTGCAATTTAAAAAATGCAAATGATTGTCAATATTAAGGAAAGTTACAAGACAAAATGAGAAGTGCTTTGTCTTAGTACAGTGAACCAAGAGAGGCCACAAAATCTGATTTGTGCTTCCTAGACACTCCCTTTGCCTACCTTGAGGTTTCCTCTCTTTCCTCCGTGAGTCTGACCCCAGCCTCCCGAGTTGAAAGAAGAGCTGCTTCCCTGGGAGCCAGTGCTGTTCCAGACCCCTCCACCACCATCATCTTCCTCGTCCCAGCTGGGGTGACGGGAGGCTGCCACAGAGCCCTCTCCCTTCCCGCCCCAGCTTTCCATTGACTTGGTGCCTGCTGCAAAATCAAAGCAGATGGTTATGATGATGTTGGCAGTCATTTCTCTAGATTTGTCTTGTCTTTGAGAAACGCTGAACCCCATTCAAGATGAAAGATGTGTAATGTTACTTGCTTTGCAACATTAGGTCTCAGGATGACAGGGGGCATCAACAACTGAGAACCCAGATATTGTAGTATTATGAATCACACACATTTTTTCTATTCTTACCAGGTTTACCAGGGTTGGGTGAAGGGTTTCCCCAGCCAGAAGCTTTGCCAGGTTCATCTGGATCACCCCAACCTGTTGCTGCTTCTGAGGTCTGGCCCCAAGCAGATGTACCATTATCCACAGATTGAGGGCCTCCTCCCCACATACCTGGACCTGCACATTGATGAAATTGAAAACTTCCCTTTAAAATGTGGCAACAAGGACATAAAAAAATGCAACATTACTAGTACTTATATAAACTGATGGCAGAGTCAACACTTCAAATGCTGATGCTCAGTCGATGTCAACTACAATATGAGTTATGCTTACCAACTGCAGCATTGCCAGGGTTTGTGTCCCTGCTGTGCTGCAACCCCTGCTGCCTTCTAGGTGGTTGCTGCTGCATGGGTGGTGGTGGTGGTGGTGGGGCCTGTGGACCGTGGCTTTGATCAGGCGTAGCACACTTTTTGTCCCACAAATTCACATTCTTGCTGTTGTAGCGGGTTGGGTCTCCCCAGGCTGAAGTGCCATCATCGATTTCCAATTTGCGACTGATGGACTGAGGGGAGGGTTCCTCCCAGCCACTGGGCTCCAGGGAGTCACCCCCACCTCCGGAAATTTGGGGGATCGGGCCGGAGGTCCAGCCCGAACTTTGGTTCTGATTCTTGGATGGTGGACCTCCACCTCCACCTCCAACATTGGACCGGCTGTTCCACCCTCCTTGCATGGGACCTCCTTGTGGCTGCTGGCCCTGTGATTGGTGCTGCTGTTGATTTGGGGCTTTCATTGGTGCCACTTGGCTGTTTGGTATCTGTGCTGCTGCTGCTGCTGCTGCTGCTGCTGCTGCTGCGTGGGGCTTGGCACTCCCCCAGTCCTGGTGGGATTTGCCTCCACCCACATCTCCTCCTCCCCATCCTCCTCGCTGAGTTCCTCCTTCTTCCAAATTACCCCAGGAAGATCCCTCATCAGAGTTGTTTCCACCTCTGCTTCGCCCATCGTTATTCCCTCCACCAGGTGCAGAGTCCCTCTGTCCCCAGTCTCCTCCCCAGCCACCTGTCTCCCCTCTTCCAGTCCCCTTCCAACCTCCTGTCCTGGCTGGCTTATCCTCTGGACCATCTGTCCAGCCACTACCCTGTTCTCCAAATTCTCTCCAGTTCCCTCCTCTGCCTCTCCGTTCCCCCCATGGTTGTTCTTCAGTCCCCCATCCTTTGCCCTGTTTTTCAGGTGGCGGATCACCCCAGCCTCCAGCGGACTTCCCTTGGCTGCTCTCCATATCTTCTTCTGGTGTCCCTGGCTTCCTTATAGTGCTACCAGGCATGTGAGGACCACAGGTGGACTGTGTAGGACCACCGTCCCAGCCATCTCTCACTGTAGCAGGGGCAGAGTTCAGGCTGGCCGCAGATAGATCATTAGTTATTGAACTGGTGTTAGATGGGTACCCAGGACCGCGAGTAGTGGTAGTGTTCATGGTTGCTGATGAGAATGCAGAAGAAGATGAAGTGCTTCGTTCGTTTCTGTTTCCTGCTCCTCTTGCGCTGTCCAGGTCCCAGGCCACATTCTGACGAATCTGGGTCTGACCCCAGCCTGTGTTAGACAGAACCCTGGGGTCCAGGTCAGATCGATTGAGCATGCTGAGTAAGGCCACTTCAGCATTGGAGGTCTGCTGGGAATTGGGGGGTGCAGACGAGGCTCCCTCCTGCTTTTGTCCGCTATCACTGCCTCCTCCACCACTTCCAGCTGTGGACCCTCCTCCGCTAGAGGATGAGGGTACTCCACCTCCAGTGCCTCCACCCTGCCCACCCCACTCCCCAACTGCACTGTCCCCACTTTCCATCCCTTTCTGATTGTCCCAAGCTTTTGTCATAGTTGCAAACTTTGGAGAGGCAGAGTCCTGCAAAACGCTGCCACCGATACCTACGCTGCCTCCACTGCTGCTGCTGTTGCTGCTCCCGTCTCCTCCTCTTCCACCTCCTATTGCTAAGTTACTCGAACTTACACCTGTGCCACCCCACTCTGCTTCTGAACCGCCTCCTTCCCACGCTCCCTGAGATACCACTGGGGTATTTGAGCCACCATCATTTCCCCTGCCCCACCCTGCCTTGTCACCCTGGCTACCAAAGCCCCACACATTCCCTTCCTGCCCCTGAGCTACAGTCCCTCCTCCACCCCATCCATCTCCCTGTGAGGCACCTGCACTTATGTCAGAGGACACTGGAGGCATGGATCTCCAAGAAGAAGATGCGGCAGAGGAGGAAGAGGAAGAGCCAGAAAGATTACCACTTCCTTCTCCTTCGACACTAGCAACCCCACAGTCCCTCTCGTCGCCACCTTCTGGATTTGGTCCTGCTCCTCGTGCTCCCCCGCCTGAACCCAACTCCGCTCCAAGGTTTCCTAAGTGCTGCTGCTGTTCTCCACTTCTGGCTGCCACAGCTGTATCAGTGTGCTGCTGATGGAGACCAGTTTGATTCACAGATGAAACAGAGTGAGTGGTGATGAGGGTGGTGCTGGCAGAGAACGAAGAAGCTGAAGTAACGGACGAATGTAGTGGAAGGCTGTCGCTAGCCGAAGTTGATGTCCCACCCTGCACCAGGGCAGGCCAGGCGGAGGGGTTCACGTTGGGGTTGAAATTGGCACCAGGGACACTACTGCTGCCACCCACAGGGCTCTCCTGCGGCCCAGGAAGAAGATGGGAGACTTTGGAATTGTAAAATGCTGCTGATCCTAGCCCTGCCTCCACCTGAGAGGAGGTGGAAGAGCCCCACACACCACCACTGGACTGAACACATTCATTAAGCGAGGAAGAGGAGGAAATAGGAGAAGAACGAGGCGAGGAAGGATTGTCCATGTTCCCTGCTCCTCCTCCTCCTACCGCTCCTCCCTTCTGCTGGATGTTTCTCTCACTCCATGAGGCACTACTGTTGTTGTTGTTACCAGGGCAGTCTTGCTCCTGCACTCCTCCTCCAGCCACGTCAGAACTCAATTTGGCCCCGCCTAGGATGCTAGGCCAATCCCCCAGGTCAGTCCCATCCACAATCACCTTCCCGCAGCCCTGAGAGGAGGACGAGCTGCCAGAGCCTGCCCCCCATGTGGAATTTGCATAAGTTGAAGTAGTAGTAGAAGAAGACGACAGAGCAGCGACACATAATGAGGATGAAGAGGAGTTGGGGGGTGAAGCAGAGGATGAACCCAGGTTGGAATCTATAGACAAAATTGAGATCATTCATTTAATTAACATGTTAAGCATTAACAATACTAATGACTAGCAGACCGGACCAATACAGTGCAGTACGGTGAACGCATATCATAGTTATCAACTTTACACCTACAATTATGATTTATTTTATGATTTTATTACATTGTTAACTGGACTGTATGCTTTTGTAAGTGGTGGAGTCAGTAAACTTAAGTTTCTGGACAGTTGCAAAGATCGCTTAGTGGCACGTGTTACTCAGTGGAGTACATATCAAACTTGACTGAACTTCTTTTGTTCTGAGACGTCAACCCACCTGTGCCTCCAGGTGTGTTTGCATTGGGACTATCCGCTCCCTGTGAGGAAAGAGGTGCGGCGGCTACCCAGCCACTGCCACCTCCAACCCCCCCTGCACCCCCTTCCCCTCCTCCTCCCCCCAGCAGCATGGAGGACAGCGGTGGCTGGCCCCTCTTCAGTAGCACTTTATGGTCCTGCTGGCAGCGAAATCTTGGTGGAACCTCTCTGGACATGTATCGCTGCTGCTGGGAGGTCTGGCTTCCAGAGGGGGAGGAGGAGGGCTGTCCGTTGGCCACAGCAGTCCGCTGCTTTGCATTGTTCCCGCCACCAGGAGGAACTTGTGCAGAAACCCCGGCTGCACCAGGACTGGGGGATGAGGGAGCAACAGGGCCAGGGCTGGGGGACACTGAGCCTGGGGTGGCGTGCGGCTGGGAGCAGGAGGGCTTGGCTGATTCTGGCACTGAAATATACAAATAATGAAGGGTGTGAATCACTGGAAGTAGGATAAAAAGAGATAGACAGTGTGGGTATGTTACTCAACTTTTAACAGTTACAGAAAATGTAGTAGCATCAAAAGTGTGTGTGTTATTCCCTAGGTCTACACAATACATTCAAGTTAGTTATTGTAAGAACAAGGTGCTGCTAATTGAAGTATATTTAACAACGAGACATACACATCAATCCACTGACATTATCATCTAGACTAGTGAATGATAAAAGGAAGGGGAGGTTGATGATGACAAAAACAAACACATACCTTTGATTTTCTGTTCTGGCACCTAAAGTAGAAATAATAAATGAGTCAGATACAAAGCAGAAGAGAATTTTCTGGTGACAACTTGAAAAGGAAACAAGAAAAGGTTTTGTTTGACATCACTGAAGACATACATCCATGTAGACCTAACAAGTGGAATCTTAGTAGGCTTTAGTTTAGCTACTGCAATATACTGGCAACCACCGTTTAGGCAAACATAAAAACATGACATTGAGTATTAATTTTGCAAATCCTTCCCAAAAACCTCAGTTACCTAATGAAATAGTGAAAATGTCCAAGTCATTTTGAAATGTATGTAAGAATTTTTGGTGACACGGTTTACCTTCTGAGAGGTTTCCCTTTTCTTTTTATCTTCTTTCTTCTTTTTCTTGTCTTCCATGAACTACTGTTCCCTTTCCTGATTCTCCTGTCTGTGAAGAGAAATGTACACATTCAATTATTTATGTTACACCTCGAGCCATCGTAATTTAATGCTCACAAAAGCATACCCTTTCCACACAAACACACACACACACACACATATAGACATCGACTCCAAATTAATAACATGTATTCCATCAGATCACTGCCAAGTAATCTACACAGTCCATGTTGTAAGGACTGTAACGTTAACCAGGGGCAGACAGCCTGACAACAGCCCTTGGTAGCCTAGCTTCTCACTGCATAATTCATTACCCAGCAAACGATTGCAATTCCAAGCTACGGACAACACGGGCAGCAGCCAAACAAGTTACTTCAAACTCTTCAGAACATATATGGAAGAGTCGGGTTCCTTTGCACTGCAGCACAGACTGTAATGGCAGCATGACCCACTGAGTGCGAGTACACGACGGGATCTGTCCAGTGTTACGGAGGCTCACGCTGACCCCCTCACCTGCCAAAAGTAAACCTACCAGATATGAACATACTTAATTCATACCCACATCACGTGAGCCAGTTTTAGTGGAGGGCAAAACATACAGCGGGGGGGTTAGAAAAACCGGTTGTATGCGGAAAAGTAAAGAGCTCTCAAATACCACAGAGCTGTAAATACGACTGGGCCCAGTGTTTCTGTTAGCTCAGCTGCACATAATTAGCACCATGCCACACAGCGCTAATGTAAGCTAACTGGACAACTTATAGCGTTAACCCCTCACTGCACCCTACATAAATGCGTCCACACACATTGTATTCAATACACAGTTTAAGTAACATATGAGGACACCTACAAGCCAGATGTTCGCAGGCGCATTAGAAGCAGACAACCCTGGGGTTCATGTAAATACCAGGCCAGTAAATGAGAGCTGTGCGGCTACTGTGAATCACCAGAAGAGCCTCCGTCGGATGAGCGAGTAGCTAATGCTAGTCGACTGTAGAGCAGCTGGTGACCACTGCCGTGACCCGGAGAGCCGGGGGCTCGCGGCGGTAGGCTGTCCCAGAGCGAGCTGCCTCTGTCGCTCCGCGCGACCAATCTAACATCTACGCAGTTGACTGAAGCCAACAGACACGTAACGTTAGCTCACGATACGTCCCTTATTTTACACACACGGTGGGTTTCATTTACACCTGTCCACTGGTAGAACTGGTAACTTCTCACAAAACACCACCACCAGGCCAACGGACACGCTGCTAGGCAGCGGGCTCCTCGGTACTAACGGTCGACAGGGCCACAGTACAACGACCAACTTCAGTGACGTTTCTTCACCATTGCAGCGCGTAACAAGCGGAGCTCCTCTAAAACTGAAACCTAAAGGGGGTTGTGGCGGTGTAAAGGCGGAAATACCAAACCATACTGATCAGGAAATCTACCGAAGCGCGTAACGTTAACGTTAAAACACTCACCTCGGGAATCACATAGGACATAAAGTGCTTCTGTGCAAAAATTCTTGCAGACCTACCGCTAGCAGGCTAGCAAGGTAGCTAGCCTAGCGAGCTAGTTCTTCGAGGCTTCCAAGGCTAAATTGAATAAGAAATGACATCACCGAAAGGCGAAATGTTAATCGTAGAAAAAAACGAGGAAAGGCGAGTATCCTTTTTGAGCGACTGTAGTTCTCAAGCTGTAAACAAAACATGCATAACCCCTTGATGACTGTCAGACGCTGTATGATCGGTTAGTTTACTATCGGCCATTTTGCTTCTGTGTGGAGGTTTAGCCAGCATATGATATCACCAGGCTGCTTGTTGATCAGAGAGGGGAGGAGGAGCAGGGGCGCGTACCGACACCGCCCACCAGGGGGAGCCTTATCACTGGAGACATGACGTCATACACGCGGGGCATAAATAAGTAAACAAATGGGTAAACAACAATAACCCCCCCCGAAACAAATGGATCCGAAACGCGTGAATATATCACCTTCCTAAGGCTATGAACGGCCTCATGGTAAAGTTGCTGCTGCTCTGAGCTGCAGTGTTGAAGCTTTTTTTATTCCATGTATGAAAGATTATAATCTGAATAATCGTGAGATCGGTATTCATTTGGATTTTGGGCGGAATACTGTGATATTTTTGTCTTTGTCAGAGTTTTACATGAAGTCATTTATTACAAGATTTGATGCTGACAATTCTTCTTTCCTGTGGTCAGGAATAATGTTGACACCCAGGTATAGTCTGGAAAACTTGCCAGAGAAACACAGCATTTGTGTCACTTTCAATGAGAACATTACAGTATTTCTTAGAGTGGGAATTAATAAAAACATAGTCTAGACTAGGTGAGTGGGTCTACCACAATTAGTTTGCCTTCTATATTATATTTTTGTTTCAGATTATTAGTTATGTCTCCTCAACCAATCTAGCAACTGCACTGGTGTCCCGTTGTCTGTCGTGTATTTGAACACACAAGTAAAGTAAAAATCAATATTTTTTAGTATTCATTTATTTTAAAAACTGGTTACAAAAGAAAAAAAGAGTTGGCAGTAAAAAAACAAAACCATTCAGTAATAGTTAACTATAAGAAGCTTCTGTTGTACAATGTAGTGTAAATACAAACATTTCAGTCATATATAGCTCACCTAAAAAAATCCAGATGTGTACAATTCTCCTTTAAAAAAAACCTGTGTTCATATAACTGCAGTTATATTAGTTTGATATTTTTTAAGTATGACCTGTATTTAGGATTATGTCAGCTCCAAAAAGAAGGACACTGTCTTTATTGTAAAATGTGGATAAGCAGATTTGTACCCTCCACTACATCCCTACTCACAACATACTACAATCCCCTTCACCTGGACCGTCCGTCCCTCTTTGTCTCCTCACAGCTTTACTTTCCACTCACAACATAACTGAATGACAAGTGACCCAAATGGGTACCTGGTGTAATTCCCCAAGAATGACTTTGAAAGTACAATTAAATAATAAAACTGTCTGTCTCTATGGAAAAGAAATAACATGACTGTCACACAAAACTGCTAACTAGAGGCTACCTTCCGTGTGTGGGTCAAATCTGTTTTAGATTCAATTTGTATTCCCCCTATTCCCCCTTTGTAGCCAGTCCAGCTTGGCTATATAGATTAAAAAGTCCTGTTGGCATGTATGTACATGGGCCTAATCTGGCCTTTCCAGGTAGGTAAATTCATGTTGGTCCTCTCCACTTTGAATAGTAAGATGATCTAACAATAAATGTTATCCTCTATAAGCACCTGGCTGTGGTTTGGTGCCTACTGGCATTCAAAGACAGTGAATATCCACATTTCTATTTCTATTCATCTCTTCTCTACTGAAGTCGATCCAGTTCGACCCATGCTACCGCCCTCTGCTGGCTGTGGATGGCGTTGCGTATGGCTGCCAGCAGCTCATCAGTGCAGCTCCAGGTGCTGGGCTCCAGGGTGTAGTAGAGCAGGGGCAGCGTCTCCAGCTGCAGCTCCTCGGCCTGGCACACCTCCTCCATTATGCTCTCCTCTCCACACCGTGGGAAAAACTTCCTGTTTCAAGTGTTGGAAGGTCATATGCAGCAGGTTAGAGGACAAAATGTTGGGTTCATGCAAAAGGAGACTTACTGTGAGGTAGGAAAATACCCCACTGTCTGCACATGAAGTAAAATTCACCTTCAACATGAATAGTTAGTGTACGATGAACCTGGAATGAAGTACCACCATGCAACTATGATCTCATGTGTACTGTGGCACTGAATTTTCTCTACTGCACATGCAAAGCAAATGGATGTGCACATACCTTAGCTTCTTGTGTTTTTTGTTTTTAGGTCGAATATGGATGACAATAGGGTAAATCCCCTGTCTTAATAAGCCCTCAACACTGGGCAGCCCCAGCTCCAGTAGACAGTGCTTGTCCTGAAACAGAGACAAAGAGGATTGAAGATTTGGATAACATGTTCTCTATTCCAGGAAATGAACAGCTGATACAGGCTTCTGGATTTAACCTACAAACAGTACAATTCAGCAACAAGAAGGTGTGACTATGTGTTTGTCAGGAACAGCAAAAACAATAAGATTATCCTTTTTTCAGAAGAAGAAAAAAAGGACAATGATGTGTTCTTTTCATTACCTGGCTGATGACATCCTGTATTGACTGCAGCCGTATGCCCAGAGCCTGCTCTGGGCTGCAGGAATCCAACAAGAACACTCTCTTGTCTCGTCTCTCTGAAGGCTGGATCGGCTCTGCGAACCACAGGAAACAGAGGAAAGAGGAGACGGTGGTGTATCATGTGACGATCAAGTGAAAAATCACCTTCTTCTTCACTCGCATTTGGGGCAATGTTTTTGCTGTGCACATACCTGGTGGGCAGGTGTTGAAATTCAAACCAGACTCTGCTGGTTGCAGCAGCCTCTCTATGAGACCACGGGAGAGAAGAGATGGGGAGAAGATGACCGGGCGCTTAGTCTGGACCTGCACCGGCTGCACTACACTGTACGGGATCAAGTGCTCCTCGTGACCTGAGGGGGCAGGCACACATGAAGGTACGCGTACATTAACGAACACATTTATCATTTGTTGCACGTATTTGGCGTCGCATTCTGGTAACACTAAGGCTGGCTCTTACGTTTGCTGAGTGTGTAAAGGACCTGCTGTGTGGAACCAATCCCACGGCAACCGGGGTCCACTGCCTTAACCAGTCGTACGCGTCCGGAGGCTTTCTTCAAGAGCTACAGGAGAATGGAGAAAACTGTGGTTACCAGTTCTGTAACAGTTTGGTTAAACACAGAGACTGAAACTGAACCTGCTGTTTATGTAATTTCAACATGAGCACATTAATCACCTTCTTCTTGAAGTCCTTTTGCTCCAGAGCCATTTTTCGTAGCCTCACAAGTAACAACTGCTGTGCCCTGAGATGGACAATAGTACAATCCAGGTTATTTACACTCCAGTATCAGCATTGTTAGAATATGGTGTTTAGTTCTTACTTTTAAGTACACTTTGTATTTCAGAGCTACTGTAAAAAATCCTCTTGGCCAAAATTAGAATATAGTCTAAAATAATACAGCAGTAAGATACCTGTTGTAGTTGGGCATGGTTCCTTCCTGCAGGGGCTTGGCTGTGCGGGGGTCCACCAGGGAACAGCGCCAGTGGTATTTTCCATTGTACCTTGTGTCTGTGACATGTATAATGTCGTCACAGGACACACCCAGAGACGGCGAGCCACCGTGAGGATCCATGTTGAGATTGACACGCACATAGAAGGAGTCAGCACCCGTAAAAGTAGGCGACGAGAGCTGGGAGCACAGCTTGGAGTATGCTGAGGACAGGAAACAGGAGAGGGGGCTGCTTATAGGCTCAGTATTACTGTTTTATATTCATTTTTTTAAATCTGTAAGTATATGGACTCACCCTCTGGGTTGCTCTGGTGTTTGAGTGTTGAAGGCTCGGTCCACCACTGCAGAGAAAAGTGGGCAACCTCAGCAGTGCACTGGGCCATCAGCACACTGCCCCCACCAAACAGGACCCGCTCCAGCTGGACAACATGAAGAGAAAGTTCTTGTTATGTTCCAGCCACACTTTCTTATATTCATCTTCTTTTTTACCCTTTTTTTCCAAGGAGATTGCAAACACCTGCAGGCCGAACTATAATATGCATTTGCCCAAAACAATTCACATATAAGCATTAGCAGACACACACAGCATGTGCACACGTATAGCCCACACATAATGATCTATCACCAAAGAGACAGACACACACCTCCAGGAGCTCACTGCCCTCCTTCAGTCCACATTGTTCAGCGGGGGAACCAGCTCTCACATGGCTGACAAAGATCCCTGTTCGGTTTCCTCCGACTATCGTAATATCGTCAGCTAGACTGGCTTTTCTGTGCTTTGGTGGGGTGGGGGGGCTTGAAGACGGGGAGCGGGGGGGTATCCTGAGAGAGGATGGGGTGACATTAGGCACAGATTTGGCAAAGAGCAGTACAACTTGCTTTCTATAAACAAAAGGTTAACTTTTCTTCATATATTCACATTATGTATGTATTGTGAATATTTGCACTTACAGTATTAAACCCTTTCAGAAACAGTTGTACCCTATTTTTTATGTTTAATGAGACGTTAATCACTTAACTATATGTGCTAGAAAATGTTTGGTTGCATATTGAGGAACGAATTAAGATCTTGCACTTAAAATATTCACACAATAGCATTGTAAAATAAATCTAAAATGTTTTATACTGCAGTTCGTCAGTCAGGACCTTTGCATCATCATCAGTCCTATCTAAAAAGGTGTTAAGATGTTGGTGCAAGCAGCGTATTAGTGAGATGATTGATTATTAAACAGGAAACCATCACATATGTCAATGCTTTAACAATATTTTTAGTGGCTTTCCTCGAGGGTTTGGAACTGAGGTTGTACCTGGGGACATTGGGTTGGTCTGAAGAGAC